ATTTTTAGGTACATCGCAGGCAGCCTTAAGTCTTGCACAAGAGAAAGGCGCGGTGAAGGACCACGTCTGAAAGTTGAGCCAGACACTAAAATGCCTGGCAAGGAAAAGGCATGGGCTGCATTCCTGCGCAACTCCGACAACAAGGAAGAATTTTTCAAGCTTTTGGCGGAATCTATCTCTAGTTGCAATTCAAACAACATCGAGCTGTATGTGACAAAGGGCGACACAGTTGTCACGAACTCTGAGAGATTAGACCTGTCCGACATCGCCCCTTGCAATCATGAAGAGGCCGACACCCGTGTGTTCGTGCACGTTGCTGACGCAGTTCGACGGGGTGCAGCAACTGTCCTGATCCGAGCCGATGACACGGATATTGTGGCTCTGGCATGCGCTTGTTTTCCTCAGCTACCTGCTCTGAAAGAGCTATGGATACACCGCTTTACGAGCAAGGAACACCGGTTCATAGCAAAACATGAACTGAGCGCTGCATTAGGTAAATATTTCTAGCTCTAGCGAATTTGAAAAAATAAATGTATTGAAATTATAAAATATTCGCGTTTACAGGTCCGGAAAAGTCACTGGTTGTGCCTGCGATTCACGCCTTTAGTGGATGTGACAATGTTGAACAAATGCACGGCATTGGAAAAACGAAAGCCTGGGACGCACTCAAGTTGCAGCCAAATGCTATTCGCTCACTTCTTGATTTGAGTAAAGGCAAGATTGACTTTTCTGTGCTGTCAGATCTAGTCATTGCCATGTACAGCCCGTAAGTGTTTATTTTGTTTGACTGTTATTCGTATTCGTTGTAAGATGATCCCCCCCCCCCTTCGAGGCAAAAATAACTCGACCCTTTTGTTTTTCCGGCAGGGCAAAGCGATACAAGAGTATCACTTCGTGCAGACGAGGCCTGTTTTCGTCGACGAATCGACCAGCGGAGAACATTCCACCATGTGAGGATTCCCTCGAACTGCATATTCTTCGAGTTGTGTGCCAACTCACAGTTTGGGATCAGCTGTTCACACCAAATCAAAACCTACCAGACCCGTTGCTGTGGGGCTATCACAAGAAAGACAACACCTTCATGCCAACGTGGCGAAGAAAGCCTCAATTTTCGGAAAGAAGTGTCGCCCTGACTCGCTGCGGATGCAAGGTTGAGTGCAAGGGAAATTGTAGTTGCAAGGTACTCGGATGCTGTGATTTGTGTAGATGTAAGTGTCCCAAGACTTACGAATGAACGTGATAGTGTGATGTGATATTTTAACAAAAGTATCTCTATATTTACTTTCCTTAAATGTCTGTTCTGATTTTTTCCAGTGTAATAGGTATGTGTGTTTTTTTACATGAAGTGTGATGTGATTTTTGCCACTGGTTTGTTTTCACTGTGATTTGTTTTCGCTGTGATTTGTTTCA